GAAACCCAAAACAGTTGGGTATACCTCCTAATTCAGATCCGAAAGCAATATGGATTGTTTCTAGAATCGGGTCCTTTCTCGAGGAAAAGTTTCTCTCGAAAGAATTGAGTGGGAGGATGGTGGAGACTTGATGAGGTTATTGAACCATCACTTCAACCAGTGTGTGACAGGGCACAGGGAGTTGTTCCCGTGGCACCTACACCAATTGAAGTGGAAGCTTATGATAGTGATCATGAAACTTCAGATCAAGTCACTCCCAAACCTCGTAGGATGACAAGGATGCGTACTACTTCAGAGTGGTACGTAATCCTGTCTTGAAGGTCATGTTGCTAGACAACAATGAACCTACGAGCTATGGAGAAGCGATGGTGGGCCCGGATTCCGATAAATGGCTCGAGGCCATAAAATCCGAGAACGGATCCATGACTTTGGAAGAAATACTTGATGGTCGTAAGGCCATTGGGTACGCATGGATTTTAAAAGGAAGACAGACAATGATGGTAAGGATTACCATTAAGAAAGCTCGACTTGTCGTAAAGATATTTTCCGACAAGTTCAAGGAGTTGATTACGGTGAGGTTTTCTCATTCGTAGCGATGCTAAGAGTCTGTTGGAATTGGTTTAGCAGTTACTGCATGATTGATGAAATCTTGCAGATAGGATGTCAAAACATTGTTTCCTCGACGTTATACTTGAGGAAAGGTTGTGTGTGATACAACCGGAAGGTTTTGTCAATCCCAAAAGATGCTAATAAGTATGCAAAGCTCCAGCAATCCTTCTAAGGACTGGAGTGAGCATCTCGGAGTTGGAATGTGTGCTTTGATGATGATCAAAGATTTTGGGTTTGTACAAAGTTTACGAGAAACTTGTATTTCCAAAGAAGTGAGTGGGAGCACTATAGAATTTCTGATGAGTATATGTTGTTGACATATTGATGATCAGAGATGATGTAGAATTTCTAGAAAGCATATAGGGTTATTTTGAAAGTGTTTTTCAATGGAAGGCCTGGATTAAGCTACTTGAACATTGAGCATCAAGATCTATAAGGATAGATCAAAATGCTTAATAATACTTTCAAATGAGCACATACCTTGACATGATCTTGAAGGTGTTCAAGATGGACCAGTCAAAGAAGGAGTTCTTGCCTGAGTTGTAAGGTACGAAGTTAAGACTTAAAGCTCGACCACGGCAGAATAGAGAGAAAGGACGAAGGTCGTCCCCTATGCTTAAGACGTAGGCTCTTCAGTATGCTATGCTGTGTACTGCACCTGAAGTGTGCCTTGCCATGAGTCAGTCAAGGGGTACAAGAGTGATCCAAGAATGGCTCACAGGACAGCGGTCAAAGTTATCCTTAGTAACTAGTGGACTAAGGAATTTTCTCGATTATGGAGGTGGTAAAAGAGTTCGTCGTAAAGGGCTATGTCGATGCAAGCTTGACACCTATCTGGATAGCTCTGAGTAGAGAGACCGGATACATATAATGGAGCAATAATTTAGAATAGCTCCAAGTAGAGCAGTTATTTGGAATAGCTCCAAATAGAGCGTGGTAGCTGCATCTAGGAGATGACATAGAGATTTGTAAAGCACACACGGATCTGAAAGGTTCAGACCCGTTGACTAAAACCTCTCTCACAAGCAACATGATCAAACATAAAACTCATTGAGTGTTAATCACATAGTGATGTGAACTAGACTACTGACTCTAGTAAACTCTTGGGTATTAGTCACATGGCGATGTGACCTGTGAGTGTTAATCACATGGCGATGTGAACTAGATTATTGACTCTAGTGCAAGTGGGAGACTGTTGGAAATATGCCCTAGAGGCAATAATAAAAGTATTATTATTATATTTCCTTGTTCATGATAATTGTCTTTTATTCATGCTATAACTGTATTATCCGAAAATCGTAATACACGTGTGAATACATAGACCACAATATGTCCCTAGTGAGCCTCTAGTTGACTAGCTCGTTGTGATCAACAGATAGTCATGGTTTCCTGGCTATGGACATTGGATGTCGTTGATAACGGGATCACATCATTAGGAGAATGATGTGATGGACAAGACCCAATCCTAAGCATAGCACAAAGATCGTGTAGTTCGTTTGCTAGAGCTTTGCCAATGTCAAGTATCTCTTCCTTTGACCATGAGATCGTGTAACTCCTGGATACCGTAGGAGTGCTTTGGGTGTATCAAACGTCACAACGTAACTGGGTGACTATAAAGCTGCACTACAGGTATCTCCGAAAGTATCTATTGTTTTATGCGGATCGAGACTGGGATTTGTCACTCCGTGTAAACGGAGAGGTATCTCTGGGCCCACTCGGTAGGACATCATCATATGCGCAATGTGACCAAGGAGTTGATCACGGGATGATGTGTTACGGAACGAGTAAAGTGACTTGCCGGTAACGAGATTGAACAAGGTATCGGTATACCGACGATCGAATCTCGGGCAAGTAAAATACCGCTAGACAAAGGGAATTGTATACGGGATCGATTGAGTCCTTGACATCGTGGTTCATCCGATGAGATCATCGTGGAACATGTGGGAGCCAACATGGGTATCCAAATCCCGCTGTTGGTTATTGACCGGAGAACGTCTCGGTCATGTCTGCATGTCTCCCGAACCCGTAGGGTCTACACACTTAAGGTTCGATGACGCTAGGGTTATAAAGGAAGCTTGTATGTGGTTACCGAATGTTGTTCGGAGTCCCGGATGAGATCCCGGACGTCACGAGGAGTTCCGGAATGGTCCGGAGGTAAAGATTTATATATAGGAAGTCCTGTTTCGGCCATCGGGACAAGTTTCGGGGTCATCGGTATTGTACCGGGACCACCGGAAGGGTCCCGGGGGCCCACCGGGTGGGGCCACCTGCCCCGGGGGGCCACATGGGCTGTAGGGGGTGCGCCTTGGCCTACATGGGCCAAGGGCACCAGCCCCAAGAGGCCCATGCGCCTAGGGAACCCTAGAGGGAAGAGTGGGGAAGGCACCTCCGAGGTGCCTTGGGGAGGATGGACTCCTCCCCCCCTCTTGGCCGCCGCACCAGATGCCATCTGGAGGCTGGCCGCCGCCCCTTAGGGGTGGGAAACCCTAAAGGGGGCGCAGCCCTCCCCTTCCCCTATATATATTGAGGCATGGGGCTGCCCATAACACGCGATTTGATCTCTGGTTGGTGCAGCCCTGCCCCTCTCCCTCCTCCTCCTCTCCCATGGTGCTTGGCGAAGCCCTGCTGGATTGCCACGCTCCTCCATCACCACCACGCCGTTGTGCTGCTGTTGGATGGAGTCTTCCTCAACCTCTCCCTCTCTCCTTGCTGGATCAAGGCGTGGGAGACGTCACCGGGCTGTACGTGTGTTGAACGCGGAGGTGCCGTCCGTTCGGCACTTGATCATCGGTGATCTGAATCACGACGAGTACGACTCCATCAACCCCGTTCACTTGAACGCTTCCGCTTAGCGATCTACAAGGGTATGTAGATGCACTCCTCCTTCTACTCGTTGCTGGTCTCTCCATAGATAGATCTTGGTGATTCGTAGGAAAATTTTTGAATTTCTGCTACGTTCCCCAACACCGCCAACCAGCGATCACGAGCTCCCCCTCATGGCTTTGCAAAGATCCACGTGGATGCTGGTGTCCGACAAGGAAGAGGAAGCTCAGCAGCTGCGGTGTGTATATGTAGAGATGGCAATTTGCACTAAAGTTTAGCTGTAGTCATTCAAGGAGTTGACGACCCTGCCACATTAGTGGCTATCACATGCAGAGAAGCAATATCTTTGGCGGAGGATCTCCATATTCGTCAATTCATTGTTGTTTCAGATTCGAAACAAAGTGGTGGAAGATAACAAAAAATTTAGCCGTGGCACCTACGGGGACATTACTAGCGAGATTAATGTTAGAGCGTCGTTGTTTCGGTGTAATTTTACTTTCAAAGATCATGCGTCAATTTTGAGGCACATAGTTTAGCCATGTTTGCTTTGTTGCTAGGTTTGGTGATTCCCACGACCTAAACTGTATCCCATACGTTGTGGCTTATGAGTTATGATGAATAAAAACTTGGTTTTTCCTAAAAAAAAGTTACCCCTCAAAATAAAATAAAATTAAAAATGGCTCATTTTTCCTGAAGTACATTCTTTTAACACAGTACTAACGCAAAATGCTCACATACACGCACGCACACACACATTATCACTCTTATGAACGCACGCACATACACTCTGTCTCTATGAGCACCTTTGAGGTATTGAGCCTGCACAATTTGCCCCCCATGAGCACCTTTAAAATACTGAGCTGCACATCTTGATGTTGACAAAGTCACCACATGCGCCTCGTAGTCAATAAAAAGTTGAAATGTCTGAAATAAATTCAGAAAAATACGAGCACAAATGCCAAGTCTAGGATTTAAACCTGATGGGCTAAGTTCCATCACCAGGAACCTAACCTTCTGAGAATGCAATGTGTTTTTTACAACTAGGAAAAAAAAGAATTATCAGGAATTTCTCAACAACAAAATCAGGTATACAGATCTTTTTTCTTCTGCAGGGCAGGCATAGAAGTTACAAGTTGCAAAAACTGTTGGAGGTAATGCCAGTTCATGACTCGACTAAGTTAAAGAAAAGTTCATGACTCGACTGGCAGCATTTACATTTCCACAGATAATAAATCAGTAGGTCTGCATAAGAGTAGACGCTATCAACAACTCTACTACAGTACTAGCAAGCCTAGCTGAACATATCCCAAAACTCCAGCGAACACTGCTGGCACGTAGGATCTTGGAGATTCTTCAGCGAAGCAGTTCATGTGTTCTTGAAAACAAAGGCATGCCTATCGAACCTGACCATCAGTTTCCCATTTGACATCTATGATAGCAGAATCGCAGGCCTCTCAGGCGCAGAGTAGTCGTGCCTTACGCCACAGGAGGGAGGTACGGCATATATGTTATCCACCCGTCCACACCGCTTTCGGAAACGAAGCCCATGAACTCAGGCGCGCACTCTACTAGCTGTTGCCATCTAGTGCCTTGATGTCAGCTTCTTTAAGTTCAACCATCTTCCCAATTCTGTACATGTAACATCCAACAATGGGTTAATATACGGTGTTATATCACCAGCCTCATTGTGAACATGAAGAGTTTATCAAACACAAAAAAAGAGTTGACTGTCAAATTAGTTTTACTTGTTGGGCACAATAAAAACTGATGCCCCTAGACGATGATTTATCAGTTGAACCAATTAACTCCACTGAACTGATTTTGGTGGTATGTACTGCTGGCATGCCAGATTTGACACATATGATCCCTTTTGATACACGAGCCTTTCCAAGTTGATCTTTCTAAAATATGTATTTCCTGGAGTATTTGATTTTACCATTTGCACCAGCTGCCATGCTGTTTCAGATGTTTTGAAAGGTACAAAAAAAAGGAAGACTTGAAAAAACCTTATGAAACTCTGCAAAAAGGAAGTAATGCTGAACATGTACTGATGTGCTAAATAACATTACCCCAGGTCTGATGGGAGGCGGAACCTGCCTATCCGAACACGTTTCAAAGCGTAGACCTGTCAAATACAGGGATAAAAAATCAGCTGCTTTCACAACAGTTATATACCACAAATAAGCATAACTGCGGGGCTTCTACACGCTTTTCCTCTAATTAACTGACTTCTGTATGGTTTTCCGGCCTGTTTTCCATTACAAACAGGGTCAACTGTCTTCTATAGCAGTGCATCAAAATAGAAATGATAAAACAAGATCTGGCTGTCAAGGTGTGTGCTACTATAACACAGCCGTCTGTGCTACTATAACACAGCCGTCTGTTATCTTTTGTTGCTATGTGATAGATCCCATACTTCTATGCTTGCATAATACCCATAAAGGGAACACGGCCTATTGGATTTGAGTCGAATGAAGCAAGGACGAATTAAGAAAAGTCTCCTAGACCCTAAAGTCCTGCTGTGGACAACAACTCGTTCCTTTGACTAGCTATTCTAGATTTATTCCTGGCACAGTATGTGCCCTCCTTCACTGAAGCTGTTCAACCTCAAGGCCTTGCCATCCTAGCGCAAGCTGAGAGATGTTACTCTCCCGGAGGTCGCATTTATTGTAGAACAAGAAATACTAAGATATGTACCAACAAAATACAAAGAAAACTTTGATAAGGATATATTCATCACGCAAAACAACCTTTAGTCCTGCATTCTGCACAAGTTCACGAACTTCGTGGTTTCTTCCTTCATGAACCTGCCAGAAATAGAACTTGACAATATCAATGCCAGTGAGTAGATTAACTAAATATGATGCCTTTGAATTTATGTAAAATTACTTTAGTCAAGCATATGTGCAAGTGACAAGCTAATTGATAGAATGCACTGGATTTGCACAATCAAGCTGGCACAAACATACAAGGACTGAACAATATTGCTAGGATATATCCTTTGCTGTACTGAACAAATCAGAATGCCTATATTATACTACATAGTTTTGTACCATATGCAGAAGTTAGAAAACAGGCATCAAATACAATAGAATGGACCATGTATAAAGGACAATTACCACTATTTTAAGTCGCGTCCTTTTTGTGTCAGCTTGGGCATCCAGTGGCTCTACTAAATCAGGAACAACCTTAACACCATCAATTACTGTTCCTCCGCTGATAGCTACAAGGTGTTTCTTGTGCACTGCTCCATCTATAGTTACTACATATCTGCAATATTGAACAAATGCAAATTATATTTTGTTTTTCGTGTATTTTTCATTATCCATTTACCATGTTTGAGCACATTTATACGAGCAGTTTCCTAGAGAAGAATATTTTTAGTTTAAAACTAGTGTCATTTGGAACTTCTCCACATTTACTGCACATGAATAATGATGGCGACCTGAGGGTAGTACCAAAACAACATCCTAATTTTCTGCTAGGAAATTTTGAATGGCATCTACAGTATTTCAAGTATAGATTACAATTTAGTCTGCATTGCAGTACTACAGTCTACAAACGATACAGAGGAGGCCAAACTTACTCCTTTGTTATGTTTGAAGAAGGGTGTGAGACTTTCTGGGCAAATTCACCTGAAAGGAGAGCAGCTAACTTTAGGCCTTGGATGGCTAAACTGCTGATTCCTAAGTATTGTCTAGCAAGTATGACAAAATTACCATCATTTGTAACTATTATCAAACCAGTTGTGGCAACATCAAGACGACCCACAGTAAACAAGCGGGGTTTTGGTACTCCTGGCTGAAGTTTGTTCTGCACATGTTGATAGATTGTTATATTTAGACAGAAGGTGAAGCACGCCAAGAATATGATGAAATTTCATTAGGAACAGTGTAATGTCTATTTTATGAAAAGCCCTATTATAGAACATACCCATCCTTTCAAATAGTCATCCAATAAGGAGATAACAGACTTCTCTTCACCAGACGAGCAAATATACCTATGGGACATCAGAAATAACATTTAGGGATATCACACAGCTGGACGAATGGCAGCTTTTCTATTGTATTAAAAAATACACTGCTAGAATACAAAAGGAAACTTTTTACAGACGTGCAGACTCCAACAATATGGAAGAAAAGATACAGACCCTTTTGGCTTGTTCACAGCAAAATAGAGCTTTGGAGGCAGCTTCTTGGAAATGCGATTCCCGTTAACGTAGATAGAATCCTTTGAGATGTCTACTTTGGTCTACAAAAGAAAAACTGATTATGAACAAGATGCAGCCAAAATGAAAACATTTCAAATTTCATAGTGGTACAATGCCGGAATCTATCTAGCTAAACTAAACCAGCTATTTTTTCACCGCAACTAGACAACTGAAGTGAGATTGACATTACGTAAATGTGGACATGAGCTAAAATATTTGCGACATGAACTGCTCCTCCTCACTCTTAGAGCTTCAGGCTGAAATTTCATACCTGGGGAGCAGTGCAGACAGAACCATTGACAGTCACCTTCCCTTGGAAGATGAGCTCCTCGCTGGTCCTTCTTGAGGCCACTAGGAAGAGCCACGAGTCAGCATCAAGACAGACATATAATGCTGCTCCGATTTCAATTCAGTCAAGCGAGCTTATCTAAAACCCTGCAGGATAGGACAACTACCTCCTGCGGCGGCGAGGACCTTGGCGAGGCGCTGCGGCTCGTGCTCCTTGATATTCTCGTTGTAGAACCTTCTGGCCGCCTTGGAGAACTTGGGCGGCGCGGTCGGGGAGGCCTTCTTCTCCTTGACCCTGACGCTGGCGACGGGGGCGTCGGCGGCGGGGCCCTGCCTCTGGCCCCTCTTGGCGGCCCTCTTGGCCTCCGCCTCCGCGGCGGCGACGGCCTGGAGGACGTCCGGCGGCGGCGAGGTGTGGAGGGATGGCTTGCCGTCGGCCCCGCGCGCGATCCACGGAACCAGCGGCTGCGCGGACGGGCCGCCGGGCGAGCGCTTGGACGGGGCGGGCGCGGGCTCCGCGAAGGTGATGTTGAAGTCCGAGGCGGAGGAGGCCGAGGAGGTAGCGCGGAGGAGGAGGAGCGGCGGGACGCGGCGGCCGCACCGGAGCACGCTGGCCGGGCGGCTGAGGAATGGGTGGATGGAGATGGCCGCGGCGGCCGCGGCGGTGGCGAGGGCCATGGGGAGCGAGCGTGGGGAAGGGGAGAGGGGTTATCGGATATCCCCCGCGCTCGCGCTGCTGGGCCGGGAAAGCGGGACGGCGAGACGGTGCTGCATTTTATTATCGTGTAGCCGCGAGACGGTGCTGCGTTTTTAGAGCATAATTGGTTTGCTGCCAAAAATTGGCATGCCAATGTTTGGCATTGTGTCAAATATTGGCAACTACTTTCTCCGGTCCTTTTTATTCTGTATATTGGTTTTGTGGAAAGTCAAACTTTGCTAAGTTTGACCAAATTTATATTAAAAATTATTAGTATTTATAATATCTAATAAATATAATATGAAAATATATTTCAAGATGAATCTAATGATATTAGTGTTGTTATGTGAATGTCTATAATTTTTTATATAAACTTGGTCAAAGTTGGATGAGATTGACTTCGGACAAACCTAATATGCAGAGTAAAAAGGACCGGAGGGAGTACTTGGTTGGCTACGGGTTGTTTTGCCTCTCTCATATAAAGTTGCCAATAGTTGGCAAGTTTCGGTATTGCCAATAGTTGGCAGTGCCAACATTTGGCAAGACAAATATTGGTAGCAAACCAATTATGCTTTTATTTTCAAAATTTTGTCAAAAGGCAAACTGTATGTTGTTTTTTTACACAGCGTGCAAACGCAAATGCTTAAATATATGCACATAATGCAGACCTGATCTTTATAAGCACCTTCGAGATACTAAGCCGGCATAATGTCTTGAGATTGACAAAATCACCACGGATAATTTTGTAGTCAACGAAAACGTCTTCTCCTACTGAACGAACATCGTCGGAAATGATGAAATAAATTTAGAAAAATGCGAACGCCTGTGCCAAGTCTAGGACTTCAACGCCATTGGGCTGGTTTCACCATAACAAACCTAATCATTGGGATGATTATCATGATTTAGAGCTCATGTAGATGAAGTCATCCCCGCCACCACATCACAAAGAGGTGATCCTCTGATTTTATTATCTAAAATAAAAATCAAATGTTTTCTTGGTGACTCTTCAACCAGAAGGGGTGGTTTTGCGATTGAATGTAATTTTTTTGAAAGAAATACAAATATGTGTTATTGTGTTTGTGTTTTCAGGAATATTACATTAATGTAGTCTTTTGCAAAAAAATTGGTGCTAAAGGTAGAGCCAGATTTTCTTCTGAGTGGAGGCAAATTATGTGACCGGAGGCACTTATCGTACAAATTGATAGGACTTGTTTTTTTTCTATTTAAAACTATGAGCATATTTTATTGAATTTTCAAAATTTGAGTGGAGCCCTACCTCTCGCTCAGTTGCACTTGTTTCTGTTCATGCAACAACTCACGTTATTATGCCTTCTCGAGAAACTATGTAATCAGTGAGAAAATGTTATTTTTGTGAAGAACAAAAACTAGCATGTTTTAGATACCCACATTTTTCAAAAAAGTTTTTATGAAACTTATCCCAGTTATTTCTTCTAGTTGAGTCGGCTCATGCATATGCGGCTAGGGTGAAGTTATCCTCCCCTCCAAGCTCCACCGCTCCTCCCAAGGATTTGCTACCCCTCTGTCTGCCGCTCCGACAGTTGGTGGCATGGAGGGGAATCCCGGTGCCTTGCCTCCAGTTAGTTTTGGTATGTTTTTTTTTTGTTTCTCGCAGAGGCGGTGTTCAGGTAGATGGCGCCACTTCATTTGAACTGGTCTTTCAGGTTTCGGTCCTCTCCAAATTCGTCCATGACTTATATGGCAATGGTCAACATTTTCATAAAACTTTTGAAGTGCTTATTTTGGGAAATAAATAAGTAAATAAACAAATAAAGGGTGCAGTGCAAACGAGCGCAGAATCCACTCTCTCTCGTTGTGCAAGCAATCCCTTATCCATTTTGCGAGCAGCACTGAATATCCACCCCTCGAGATCCCCGGCCCATCTTGGTCTCGACAGCCGAACCTTGTTTTGTCTGTAGCACATCAGCAGCGGATAAACCACGCCCACCGGCTCCCGGCCAATCCGGACCGTCCATCGCCACAGAACCGGCACAGCCGACGGCCACGATCCGTCCTCCCCCTCCTGTGGCCACGGAAAAGAGCCCCCAAGAAAGGCACCACGGCCGAGCCAAGTCCACCGCCGGGAGAATCCACGCCCACCACACCTCGCCCCCGCCGCCCCCCGATAAAAATCCGCCGATCCTCCCTTCCCCCCTCCGCCCGCGATCGCTCC